TCACCTTCCAAATGAGTTACATGGCCCTCTTTTATAATCTAGTCAAAATGGGTGGACATTTAACTGTGAAATGTGCCTAAGTGCATGTTTGCATTCCATAGGACTTTTTAAAAAATCACATTTAAGTTCTTTTCCAAATCTGAACTTCTGAGGATGCTATAGTTTTTTTTATTTTGTTTTTGTTTTTTAATGCTTGGATCCTTAAGCTCTGCTCAGGGCTTGTTTCTTCCAAAAAGTACGCTTTAAAAAAAAAAAAAAAAAAAAAAAACTGGATTCGGTACACCTGCTTTCTGCTCTTAACAACAAGACTCTTGCCCACTAGCAGTAACTTCAAGTTAGCAACTAAAGCACTTGGGTTCCCAGTATAGATCCTGGCCAAAGTAGGCATTCATTTAATGCTTATTAAATAAATGAGTAAAGTTAGGACTTTTCAAGTGTCTTCCTTTGAGTAAAATATTTACTGTTTTGTAGCCCTTGTCTGGAAATAATGAACATCTAGTTAATAGGTTATAAGGATTTTAACTAGTGGACTCTTATCTGTGATTTCTATGGAAGACTTTATATTGAGGTCTCATCTAGACAAGTTTTACTTAAAAGGGCATCTTCAAATAAAAAAATTCAAGATTTCATATTTAGCTCTGAATGTCTGTTTCTTTAAAATCTCCTTGTTTAGCCGGTTTAGACTAATGTCTGAGCTAATTATGTTTGCCTTTTTTGGAGAGAGGTTAGAAAAGGTCACTACATTAGAAAAGACCAGTTGTGGAAATAGTAATTTTTTTTAATATGACTTACTAGTGATATCTGATGTTGTTGGTATACTAAAAGTGGACATAGAAAGTTAAAGAAGGAACCAAAGAGGCAAAGATGCCTGGAGTTATTAGGAACCTGCTTTAAGATTTTGTGTCAGGCACTAAGAATTTATTAATTTGTTGAGTTCAGCAAATAATACTGGAAGTTTATTTTAGTGCTTTGTGCTTATTTAGCTCTTTTACCCAGATCTTCTAATAATAATCTCCTTGGAGAGTACACATACTCTTTGAAATGATTCATTTTTTCAAAAGGCATATTTATTTGAGTTTTTTTTGAAGGGCATATTTAATAGCTGCTGCAAACATACGGAGTAGTGCTTTAATCAGTGGTGAAAAAGAAATTGCTGTTGTTGGCTATAAAAGCAAGGAATTTTAATGTTCTTATACCATAGTAATTAGAAAAAAAATGGTCAAATACTGTTTAATTTGTAGGTTGTGTAAAGTAGAAACATAATTTGGATAGGCTTTCGTCTTAGTTAAAAATTAGGACATTTGGTATGATAAAGGCAGAAAATTCAGGATGCAGTGATAGCCTAAGATGACTGCTACAGTAGGCATAGCCACCTCCTAAAATGTTTTCAACTGCTTAATATATGAACTTTAGGCAGTTCTTGACTTGTACATGTTTCCACAAATACTTCATGGATATATGCTGCCAGATAGTAGTTGAAAATTTTGTCTTTTTCAAAATTTTAATATTCTTTTACTGCAATATCTGTTAGATAGAACATTGAAACAAATGAACTTGGGTTCAGGTACAGCATGTGTAACAAAGCTTATTATTGGGTCTGCACCAGAGCAAGAGTCTTCCTCATTAGGAATTTCTGTAGCAAGCATAGGCAAATTGATAAAATTTACTCAGTTTCAAGGGAAACCAAGTAAACAATGATTCTTTTGTAGAAAGTTATACCTCACAAGTAATTGTTATAGGTGTTTTTAGTATTTTTCCTTAGATTTTTCACACAAGTCCTAAATAGTTTCATTACCCTTTGCTAAATGATTTAAGATTTCACAACATACTTTTTTCTTTTAATCAAATACTTGCAACAATCCAATACAACATACTAGTTTATTTATTTTTATATTTATTTTTAACATACTGGTTTAATACAAGAGCTTGGCCGGGAGCAATGGCTCATGCCTGTAATCCCAGCACCTTGGGAGGCCAAGGTGGATGGATCACTTGAGGTCAGGAGTTCGATCTTTACTTAAAATACAAAATTAGCCGGGCATGGTGGTGTATGCCTGTAATCCCAGCTACTCAGGAGGCTGAGGCAGGAGAATCCATTGAACCTGGGAGGCGGAGGTTGTAGTGAGCCAAGATTGTGTCACTGCACTCCAGCCTGGGCAACAAGAGCAAAACTCCATCTCAAAAAATATATATATATGCAAGAGCTTAGGTTGAATAAGTCTCATTATTACCTTACTTACTTTGTCCTGTTACCCAAAAACAAAAATAAGGGTGTTACTCATGAATGGATTTGTTTTGATTACTTGATCCGTGACTTAAGTTTTTGCAGAATTGGGTGTTTTGGTAGGAGAATATATCTAATTTAGACCGTGGAACATTATGATATGGTAGGGGGACCATGGGTGGGAGATCTTTAGCATAAGGGCGTTATGCACTTGGCACTAGAAGGGAACAGGGAGGCTGCCAAGGATCAGTTGAATTAGGAGATTTCTCTACTTTTCATGCTAGATTCTGTAGTGATCATACACTCCTGATTTGGAGGGTTTTCCACACTATTCCATTTTCACAGTGAAATAGTTGAAGCCTGTCCTGGAATCTTTTTTTTTTTTTTTTTCAGACGGGTCTCACCCAGTCTGGAGTGCAGTGTGTGATCTCAGCTCACTGCAGCCTCAGCCTCCCAGGCTCAAGTGATTCTCCAGGCTCAGCCTCCGGAGTAGTTGGGATTGCAGGCGTGAACCACTACCGCAGCTAATTTTTGTATTTTTAGTAGAGATGGAGTTTCACCATGTTGACCAGGCTGGTCTTGAATTCCTGACCTTAAAGTGATCCAGCCACCTCAGCCTCCCAAAGTGCTGGGATTACAAACATGAGCCACAATGCCTGGCCGTGTCCTGGAATATTAATATTTTGGTTCTTTCAGTTGACCTCTCATACCTGAAAGCAGCACTTAAGATTTTTAGATGGACTGGGTTAGTTTCAGAGAATTGAGATGACAATGTGTGTGGCCTCCTGTGACATGGATGCAAGTGAAGCTAACATTTTATGATTTAGCCATGCACATGATTGTATTGTCACATTTTGTGATTGTTTAGAGATCCACCATTTAAGATATTGTTTGTGAGACTTCTTTTGCTGTCCTGTCATCTCTACACCACTTTTTCTTAGCATGTCAGTCCTTTGAGCCTCTTAACACTCTAGTATGAATCTCTCCATGTTTTTCTCCATGCTTATAAAATCATAGATCATGTATGTGTGTATTTTATTATTTCATAGAAATGGCCTATGTTTAACTTAATGTTTTGTGCCAAAGAATTGACCCTTGAATAAGGTCAGTTTTTCAGTTATCTTTTCTACTAGAAATGGTCTCTAAGTAGTTTTTCTCTTGGGAAAGAGATGATTACTTCAGTTGTTTAGCAAAGTGTGCCAGGCACTAATCAAGGTGCTGGAGGGATAGTCAGCTCTGCCTTGAGGGAGCTTACCCCCCCTAGCAGCCCACTATATGAGGAAAGTCATAAAATTATAACCAGTATTTGTAATACTGATTTATAGTTTAAGGAGAAGTGTCAGGGATAGTGACTTTCCAAGGACGCACAGTTACTAGCTGGTACAGACAGCATTCTGAATTCTAGATCATAACCCTAACCTTATTCTTAGGGTTACATCACATGATTTTTTTTTTTTTGAGACGTAGTTTCATTGTTGTTACCCAGACTGGAGTACAATGGCACAATCTCGGCTCACCGCAACCTCCGCCTCCTGGGTTCAAGCAATTCTCCTGCCTCAGCCTCCCAAGTAGCTGGGACTACAGGAGAGCACCACCATGCCCAGCTAATTTTTCTATTTTTAGTAGAGACAGGGTTTCACCTTGTTGACCAGGATGGTCTCGATGTCTTGACCTCGTGATCCACCCACCTTGGCCTCCCAAAGTGCTGGCATTACAGGCGTGAGCCACCACACCCAGCCGTATCACACGATGATCTTAATTGTGACACCAAGTAGAACTATAAAGAATATAATGGTATGATAAGCAAAATTTGTAAACATTAAAAATTGTGAATGTAAGAATTTTAATTTACCTTGCAGCATTTATGACCCTAAAGAGGGAAATCGTTTTGAAAGTTGATAGGAAATCATATAACTAGATATTTCTATAGTTGAAGCAAATTTTCTCCTTAGGGCCTTACCTTTATCTCTAGTTAGATTTAATTAACTTCACTGACCTAGAAACTGTTTGATTTTAATGTTTTCTAAGACTTAAAATTTACCTTTTTATTAATGGTAGATAGAGTGATATGCCCAGCATAAAATATAACTCAGATATTTTAAGTTCAATCAGGGAAGACTGCTGCTTTCCTATTAGAGATAAAGCAAATTCATTTAATTCCTACAAATGAAATTTTCTTTCCTTAAGAAAATTGCTCTTTTTAATTTTAAGAAATTCTCAATTCCTGTTCTTAGCTTGTATTTGAAACATACAACATGATATTATTTTTTAAATGAAATCCTGCTGATCTTCAGATGTGGTTTTTTTTTTTTTTTTTTTTTTTTTTTTTGAGAAGGGAGTTTATCTGTCACCAGGCTGGAGTGAAGTGGCACGATCTTAGCTCACGGCAGCCTTTGCCTCCGGGGTTCAAGGGATTCTCCTGCCTCAGCCTCCTGAGTAGCTGGGACTACAGGCACACATCACCATGCCCAGCTAATTTTTGTATTTTTAATAGAGACGAGGTTTCCCAAGGTTGGCCAGGGTGGTCTCAATCTCTTGACCTTGTGATCCACTCACCTTGGCCTCCCAAAGTGCTGGGATGACAGGCGCGAGCCACTGTGTCCCGCTGATTTTTTTATTTTATATATATAATAGCAATGGGTTGCACAACCACTGTACACTTCATTTCTTGATTACTCACTAATTAGTATATTTGGTTATTGCTTTTGTAAAACTTGACATTTGTTTTCCTTGGTTTGGAAGTTTAATATTATTAATTTTTTCTATTCAATTACAGGAATCAGAGGAGGGTTACTGTGACTTTAATAGTAGGCCACATGAAAACTCTTACTGCTATCAACTTCTGCGACAACTAGATGAACAGAGAAAGCAAGATATTCTTTGTGATGTTAGCATTGTGGTAAGCGGAAAAATCTTCAAAGCTCATAAGAACATCCTGGTTGCAGGCAGCCGTTTCTTTAAGACTTTATATTGTGCTTCAGACAAAGAAAAACCTAAGCAAAACAATACTACCCATTTAGATATTGCTGCAGTTCAAGGTTTTTCAGTCATCTTGGACTTCTTGTATTCTGGTAACCTGGTGCTCACAAGCCAAAATGCCATTGAAGTTATGACAGTGGCCAGCTATCTTCAAATGAGTGAAGTTGTTCAAACTTGCCGAAATTTCATTAAAGATGCCTTAAATATAAGCATTAAATCAGAAGCTCCAGAGTCTGTAGTTGTGGACTATAATAATAGAAAACCAGTTAATAGAGATGGTCTGTCTTCATCACGGGATCAAAAAATTGCCAGTTTTTGGGCAACACGGAATCTTACCAATTTGGCAAGTAATGTAAAGATTGAAAATGATGGTTGTAATGTCGACGAGGGCCAAATAGAAAACTACCAAATGAATGAAAGTAGTTGGGTCCAGGATGGATCTCCTGAAATGGCTGAAAATGAATCTGAAGGTCAAACAAAAGTGTTTATTTGGAATAATATGGGCTCCCAGGGAATTCAAGAGACTGGCAAAACGAGGAGGAAAAACCAAACAACAAAAAGATTTATTTATAATATTCCACCTAATAATGAAACGAATTTAGAAGATTGCTCAGTGATGCAGCCACCTGTTGCCTATCCGGAAGAAAATACACTACTCATCAAGGAAGAGCCAGGTAAATATTGTATATACAAGGATGCTTCTGTGTTCATCCTAATTCTAGTTGGATAATCTTGAAGTATATTTTTAGTTAAATTATTTTAAAGTAATACTAAATTTGTTTATAATAGAAGAGGGGACATCATTCAAATGTATAACATTTGGTATATTTTCTTTGTCTTTTTTCAGTGCACATGTATGTGGGTTTATCAGAAGATGTGTTAATAGCCAGGCATTGAATATATTGTTAAGGAACGTGGACTCTGCTTAATGTACGCGTCTTTGACTTTTCCTCATCTTTAGCCTCTGTACTCACTATTTTATACCTAGTGCTGGAAAAGAGAGACTCTTTAGTTGCAATATATAATCACATTTCAGATACATTATTTGTTTTTGGTTGTTGAAACATTAAAGTGTTTCAAAGAATTTTGCCGTTTATGAGATTATGGTATTCTAATTTGTTTAGGGCTACTGTTCTTGTTTTTGAGTCAGAGTCTCTGTCACCCAGGATAGAGTCTCACTGCAACCTCCACTTTCTGTGGTCAAGTGATTCTCCTGCTTTAACCTCCCAAGTAGCTGGGACGTGCCACAATACCCAGTTAATATTTATATTTTTAGTAAAGATAGGGTACTACACCCAGTTAATATTTATATTTTTAGTAAAGATAGGGTTTCACCATGTTGGCTAGGCTGGTCTTGAACTCCTGACCTCAGGTGTGCTGCCTGCCTCAGCCTCCCAAAGTGCTGGGATTACAGATGTGAGCCACCACACCTGGCCTATAGCTACTGTTCTGTTCTCACCATAGAAGTTGGAATATTTTGTTTGCCCACTGTCACCTGATTTTCATTCATCTTTGCATTCATTGCAAAGCCTCTGAGGCTTGTCTCTTCAATATATTTCCCTCCAAAAGTTATACAGGAATCTTAGAGAATCACTCGATGGTGGGGATTTTATAAAAGAAGACCATTGTTAAGTCTTTAATCTGGTTGTGCATATCTTTATTGAAGATGCACACTCAGTGGGTTTGAGGTTTCCTATGCATACCTGAGGCTTGTCCACCACTGTCAAAAATGATTTAATGCTCTAAGCACTGTAACCGTTCAGCGTCTGATTTATACAATCATGGTCATCTGAGGATGGAGTATTTTCTGTGAAAAGAATCACTGTTTTTAGTTGCCAGAGGGCAAAATGCCATAGTAATCCTATGAAATGTTCCTCTGGCTTTTTAGATTTGGGTTAGTTTTCAGTGGATGGATTTTTTTTTTTTTTAATTTTTACTATGTGAAAATTGTCAGGTGTGTATAATAGATACTATTTGCTGATCTTTCTTTCTTGTACTTTATATCAAGTTTTAATAATAAAATCCCTGAGACAATTTAAAGTATTAAGGGTAGATAGACTCCTTAGCACTTTGTTTTGTCTTAATAGTGAAGACCTTAACAAATTTCTCATCGGAGATACATTATCTTTCCGCTGCATGGATTATTCCTATTTAACAGTATGGTGGGAACCCTGAATTTATTTGTTTTTTTGAGACAGTTTTGCTCTTGTTGCCCAGGCTGGAGTGCAGTGGCACGACTTTGGCTCACTGCAGCCTCCGCCTCCCGGGTTCAAGCAGTTCTCCTACCTCAGTCTGCTGAGTAGCTGGGATTACATGCATGTGCCACCACGCCCAGCTATTTTTGTATTTTTAGTAGAGATGTGGTTTTTCCATGTAGGTCAGGCTGGTCTCGAATTCCCGAGCTTAGGTGGTCTGCCCACCTAAGCCTCCCAAAGTGCTGGGATTACTGGCATGAGCCACCAGCCTGACCCTCCCCTGTAGTGTTTTTAAATATACACTCATGCATGTGAGCGTGCACACACAGACACACACACACTTTTCCTTGAAGAAATAAGATCTTTTGGGTGTAGCAGTTGTTTGGTGGCAACTAATCAGCAGTAACCCCATTTAAAAAACTAATGCTACATATAATTGGAATGTTTTAAAGAAAACCATTAATGATGAACCACAATGCATACTTTCAAAAATAATATTGCTAGCAATTTTTATCAGATATCTCCTAGCCATGGTTGTATCAATGGACTAGGTTTATCATAAATTAATTGGTGGTGGTCTAATATGCTTCGTCTCTTACGTACATCTGTTTTTTTTTTTTTAAAAATGGACTTTCATCTGTTGCCCAGGCTGGAGTGCAGTGGCACAATCTCGACTCACTGCAACCACTGCTTCCTGGGTTCAAGTGATTCTCCTATCTCAGCCTCCCAAGTAGCTAGGATTACAGGCGCATGCCACCACACCTGGCTAATTTTTGTATTTTTAGTAGAGACAGGGTCTCACCATGTTGGCCAAGCTGGTCTCGAACTCCTGACCTCATATCCACCCACCTCGGCTTCCCAAAGTGTTGGGATTACATGTGTGAGCCACTGTGCCCAGCCATCTCTTGTATCTTAAAAAGGATTATTTTCATGTTGTTAATACCACTTTGGTATCTGAACCTTGCTTAACTCACAAATTTGGTTCTATCAGTGCCACCAATGTTATTTGCTGTCCAAAAAAAAAAAAAGGCAGGAGACGGTGGGTCTTAAAAGAGCCTTATGGTTAGGGCATAATATGAAATATAGCCAAGGACTGACAAATTTTTACTGTAAAGGGCCAAAACAGTGTAAATAAAAGGCTTTCAGTTTTGTTGGCCGTAAAAATCAGTCTGCCACTTGTGACACGAAAGCAATCATTTATGATATGTAAACAAATGAAGGTGTGTTCCAGTGAACCATTTCCACCCCTTGGTATATAGCTGTGGCTCTTAATCATGGCTATGCACCTTGGGATCCCTTGGGATCACTTGAGAGCATTATAGACCATAAGAGGTCTCTCTTAACTGTGAATTCCAATTTAGCTGGTCTGCAATGTGGTTTGGATGTGGATTTTTTTTTGGTGGGGGCGGGGATTGAGTCCTGCTTCTGTCATCCAGATGAGTGCAGTGGCACCATCTTGGCTCACTGTAACCTCTGCCGCCTGGGTTAAAGCGAATCTTCTGCCTCAGCCTCCTGAGTAACTGGAATTACAGGTGTGTACCACAATGCCTGGCTATATTTTTGTCTTTCTTTTTAAGTAGAGGGGCTTTCAGCATGTTGATCAGGCTGGTCTTGAACTTCTGACCTTGTGATCTACCTGCCTCAGCCTCCCAAAGTGCTGGGGTTACAGGTGGGAGCCACAGCACCTGGCCAGATGTGGAATTTTTTTTTTTTAATTTCTACAAGTAATTCTGTGAGTCAAGGTTGAGATCAGCAAATATTAATTATTGGAAAAAGCGCAAATTGAGTCAAACATAATGAATTTTAAAATAAGCTATGCCACCTACCCACTGTATCCATGATCAAATTAAGCTTTTCAGTTTTCTCATTAAAATATTGTGTTGATTTTATAGGATTATTATGAAAATGAAATGACAAATAATGAGATAACTCTGTTAGTCACAGCAATTCTTAAAATTAGAAAACACTATTGAGGTTATTCATATCAGTTTTCCAGTGCTGTGTACTTTCTACTAAATGCCAGATAGATGATCTTAGTCTTAGTTTGATTTTTTTGTTTGACTGCTTGTAAAGACATCCTTAATTAAGCAGTTTCCGGTGTAGGCTGATTATTAGGTAGTCATTTTAAATGTAGCCAAAGTTTGCTTTTCTGTAACTTCCTAATTCTGTTGTGGGGAATAGTATAATTTATTTCTTGTAAAATTTATTTATTTACTTTTAAGAGACGGGGTCTCCCTCTGTTGGCCCACTGCAACCTCTGCCTCCCAGATTCAAGTGATTCTCTTGCCTCAAGTTGGTAGCTGGCACTACATGCGTGCACCACTACACCCAGCTAATTTTTGTGTTTTTAGTAAAGACAGGGTTTTACTGTATGTTGGCCAGACTGGTCTCGAACTCCTGACCTCAGGTGATTGCCTGCCTCGGCCTCTTAAAGTGCTGTGATGACAGGTGTGAGCCACTGCTCGCTACCTGGAGTAGTATAATTTAAACCTAACCTAATTTCCACTCATCTACCTGATAACCCTTTAAATGTTAGACATTTCAAGAATTACCCCCAGAGTCCTGTTTTTTTGCAGGTTAGGTGCTCTTCGGCCCACCTTGTGATGAATACACAGAATTCACTCTTAACTTTCCAGGGAAGATCTGACCAATACACAACACAGTAGGCCTGTGTTTACCAAGCTTAAGGCCTTCCCAAGGTCATTCAGCTAATAAAAGTAGAAAGAGGTAGATTTCGTATTTAGGATTACCCTGCATTATTAAAACCTTGCAATTAACCACTAAAATAGTAGATTCCTGTCTTTTTAAAACATTAGTGTCTTTTAGCTTTAAAATATTTTTATGATCCCCTTCATCATTATGCTTTAATTTCTATTTATTGAGAAAACAAAGTTTTCCGTAAAATAAATGCCTTTAAATAAATTTAAAGTTATATAACAAACATCTGAAAAGTCTTAGTGAATTGTTCAACCTGCAGTGCTTGGCATGTGTGGATTTGTGGGTCTGTTGTTGCAATTGTGACTTCCCCCAGGTCTTCAGTCCACAGTTTGTAAGATACAGCCCTAATAACACAGTCTTCTGGTAGGATGTTGAAGCTTTTGTTGGGGTGCCTTTTAAAAATTGTGATAAGAAAGTATACCCATAGCTGCAGGATTTTTATTCAGATTTTTTAAAATCTTGAAGTTAACATTTGTTTGACTCACTACTGGGATCCACTTCAGATTATTACTGATATAAGAGAATACTTGAAGGAAGACTCAAGGTAACTCACAAAAGATAGAAACTTCTGTCCTAATAGAATACGCACATACTGGGACTATGGAATAATAATGAAAACTGACAGCACAACTAAAATCTGGGTAATCAAATAAGGGTAAAAATGATGTCATGAATGAATTGCTCTGATAATGTAAAAATCTCAAAATCCTTGTCTTGCTAATTTGCAACGAGGAAACACTAAATTTTAGCCAAATAAGGTA